TCGGCTTCAAAACGTGACAGGCGTTCTGGGGTGCAGATAGGCGGTTCACAATTTTTTTTTGCTTCGACACACCAACGCAGATCCAACATTAGTGTCATCCAAGAGTTCTGGAATCGTCAAAATATAGTAGTGCAACTCGAAAACAAGCAATATCCCAACAAATGCAAGAAAGCTCGCATAAAGTAGCACGGAAACACATGTGTAATGAGAAAACTTAAAATACTGCCTGTAAAAAAAAATGCAGGGTTCACCGTTCAACCCCCGGCACCACCAATAAAGCAGCAGGAGTCCAATCAACGTTTCATTCGGTTTCATCTCGACTCCGAACGGCAACTACCACTAATCTCAACCGTTCGTGATACCAATCGAACGGATTTCTGCTTGAAGAAATCTCAACGCGGCGGAAATCGAATAGGAAGCATCGCTCCCCATTACTCGAATTGCAAGACTGGGCATAAGCCTTTAACGAGCCGGTGACTCACATTCTCCAAGACCGGTTCATGCACTCACCAGAATTGAAATCGAGAGGAGAAGGCAAGCGACGACAAAGGGAACAACTAACAGACTGGACTTATCTCTTTCGTGAGATGACATTCATATGGTTCGAGTCCAGATCCACTCTTGACCTTGTTGCGCGCATTCATCCGGACGGATTTAGACTCATCAAGGAAATCTAGCCTTAGATTTTCCCTTGTATTTTGTTTACCCTTTCCTGGGATCGTCTGCTCACATGTCGTCCCCCTTCTTCCATTTCTGTATTGGCTTCTCCATCTGGATCGAGAGGGTGGCCCTCTTCGGGAAATGTAAGCTTATGTAATTTTACGAGTGTGAGAGACTTCGGTTAGGCACTTGAAATTCATCTCTATTATATCCTTATTGTTTTGGCCTATTCTTCTGCTCCTTTGATCCTACCGCGACCCACCGATGGAAAACCTCTGCTCTAAATTATTCCCCCTGCTTCGTCTTCGTTCGTTTCATTGGCACATCTTGCACAAAGTCTTGCTTCCTTCCAATTCGGATCGCGACTGATGGGGGAAATCTTTTTGCGCCGTCGAAACCCATGGTTGGCAAGCACCACGACCACTCCGCGTTTTGCTCTCGTCCGATTTCGTTTGAGCCGTGAACGGGAATGCGACGAACTCGATGAAACCGATACGGTTGCGACGTGTAACCGCCGGATCGAGGTAGCGAGAGGCGACAATCGAGGTCAAGGAATCGAGGCAAATCGAAGATGCTCTAACTCTCAGGTAACGACGACCCATAGGCACAATGATAGGCTGTGATGAAACCATCTTTTGTCCATGTTGCGTGCTTCTTGTTACTTTTGCGATCATATCGAAGTATTGATGCTGTTGACTATGGAATATTACTGAGGAAGATAAAAACTATGGAGTAAGGTGATATGTACTTAGAGAGTTTGTAAATACATGAAGAACAGGCAACATATAATTACCATAATTACTTGTAAAGAGATCCATCAACAACTGAGTGTGGGACGCCTTAGGGTTCAGTATAGTACAAGGAAAGGAAAGAAAGAAGTGAACTGTAGAGATGTATTCCATCATTTAGACGTCTCGAGGGCATCAGTGTTGCAGATCCATTCCACTCTTCATTAGAGAGCATGATACTCCAATTTACATCCTACCAAGCAGGTGAAATCTGTTATTATATATTGGTATGAATCCCCAGTGTCTGTGATAACTGAAAACCTTGTAACTGAAGGCATCTTCGCATCACATCATTACAAAGATCTTTTTAAGGGTGCAGTTTAGCAAAAATTGCTTCTTTAAAAATCAAACTGTCAAATAAATGACATGCACCTTATTCAGTATTAGTTGCTGTCAGATTTAATTCTTGTATAAAACATCTGCTGATCAAGAAATCCTTGGTCCCAGTAGCAACATAAATATTATATTTCATCCTCTAATGCAGCCGAAGTAGGAAAGACAGTTTCCTCCATGCCCAAATCAAGATGGAAAAAGCTGTACTTTTGGAGGAATTGAGGGGAAATTCGCAAGGAACAACGATATGTAACAAGTTGTGAAGAAGTTCAAAGGAAAGTTACTCTAAAAGCTACGTTTTATGGCCCCTTGTTTCATCCAATTAAATTGATGGAACTGGCAGCTGCAGCACTAGGCTAGGCACAGATCTACCACTCCATCCGTTTCTTCCGGTATGTCACCATGAGAATGGCAGACATATGCCCTATCTGACCTATTGATGAAGCATCGAAAGAGCAATGGTATAAGACAGGAGAGACAGTCACGTCGGCACTACCGTAATTATGTTTTCACGAAAATCATCGCATTTTGAGATGGATGGGAGATCTCGACTGGGAAAGGCGATGGGCCTATATTTTTTAGTCTTCTCACCCTTTGCCCCAAGAAAAAATGTATACATCCGTGGCAGTAGGAAGGCAGAGAATGGAAAGCCAGGCCGCGCTTGGAATAAAGAAGGCGCCTTGTGGAGCTGTCGTCACTACCTGATGCTTCTCATCTGTATACCTTGATCGAGGCTGATGCCCTCCGCCCCCTGCACGCATGCGAGTCTAGTTCCTAGTTCCAATTCCGAACGAGAGATAGCAACCCACTCGCACGAGCAGCCGGGACTGATCGAGTCATTGCAGTATGCTCGAGTTCCTGGGAAGAGAGGTTGAGGTTAGACCAGCGGTTCTCAAACTTTTTACTCTGCGCCCCCCCCCCCCCCCCCCCCCCCCCCCCCCCCGCGCCCCCCC